TACGATGATAATAACAATGAGGAGATGAGATGTTTTTGAGAAGAAATTTTATATCTTGCGTTTTTTTTTCTCTCGTTGAATTCGTATTTTTCATCGATCCGATATATGATACATTCGAATATCTGAATATGTTATATTAATATTCTTTTTATTTTTTATATGAAAATTTTCCTCGTAAAAATTTAAATCTCGCTCTTAAATACATTACCATTTTTATTGCGATTCACTACGATATTACGTATAATAATGTACCATATTTCTCTATTATTTATGTACCATTATGTACAAAACATATTTTCTAACGATATTTTGTTTGTTTGTTATGCGTTTCTTTATTAGACAGAATGGTGCTGGTAGTAAACGGAGTCCTGCAAGAGGACATACCAGTGGATAGCAGATCGTTATATGCAGCTCACCCGGTATATCGTGAAACTGCTGCGCAACTTCATTCGATGCCAGCAAAATTGGTGGGCCCAATGGGTCTTCTTTACGTACGTCAACGGGAAATGGCTGCTACTTTGCCACACGACAGTAAATATCAACTTTTCTTTTCTATAGCTAAATGTATATTCAATTCTTATATATTATATATATATATGTGTGTGTGTGTGTGTGTGTGTGTGTGTGTGTAAATCGTCTATTTTTCTTTGCTTGTTTGTGACATAATGTAAAAGAAAGACAGAAATTTCTATTCTATAGATAATAATAAATTCTATAGAGAATAATTTTGTAATCGAATAATTGAATAATGAAAGTAGTTGAATAATTTTGAATTGATTTTGAAAATGATCGATAAGCAACGATATAAATTCACATTTCATTTCGAATTTTATAAATCGAATCTATAATATAGATAATATTCGTTCAATTTTCCCTTTTTTTATTTCTATTTCAGAAAATGTGAGCATTATTGGTTCGGATGATATGACCACTTGTATCATTGTTGTTGTAAGGCATTCCGGTAAGTTATAATATAAAATTGATTAGTTGTGTTATCGTCATCATGATTAAAAATAACAGCTTGAGATTTTTTTTTTTTTTTTTTTTTTGATTTATAAAAATGAAAATTAATGGCTAATGAATTGATATATTATGTGTACACGTACGTTTAAACAGTTTGATTATTAACCCGTTAGGATCGGGTGCCGCTGCATTGGCGCATCTCGACGGAGCTGGTACAGAAGATGCAGCGGCAGCGATGATTCAAAGGGTAACGGAACTTGCCATTGGATTTCCAGAGGGTCGTCTAGAACTACAACTGGTCGGTGGCTATTCCGATCCCAGGAATTATTCCGAAGAATTGTTCTCCAATATTCTTTGTAAGTGTCCTCTTTCTCTCTATCCCGTTCGAATTTGATCAATTTACAAAAAATGCGTCATATTCTAATTCTAGCTGCATTTCACAAACAACCGGTAGAGATTGATCTAACTTTGTGTTGCGTGGGCGAATTGAACACTACGGTAAGAGGTGGAACTCATTGGCCGGTAATATACGGTATCGGTTTGAATGTAAAAACGGGTGAGATTTTTCCTGCTACCTTCCCCGATAAAGGTCCTGATCAAGCCCTAAGATGTGCTAGGCATTTAACCGGAGGTCAACAGGTAAGCGATGATTATCTTGAGAAAGAATCACGTTACATGTAAATGTGATGTCCTCTTTCAACTTATATTCTTCTCGCGATTAAACTATTAAATATAAAATATTAAATATAAACTTGGATAATAAAAAAATGAATTTTTTTTTAATATCGATAATTTTTTTGTAATATCGTTTATCTCGTATATTAGGTTCTAGATGTTTATGACTGTACCCTTGGTTTACTCAGAATCGGACCTTTCAACTACGATCCTTTGAGAGGAGTCGATCTTTGGTTAGCTCAATCCGATCAATTTATTCTGCAACATCTTTCAACCGCACCGGAAGTGGAACTTCCACATTTTGTATCACAGGTAACATGATATAATCTGTATTTTGTGATTGACGATCGAACGATCAATCGATTTTCTATTTAATTCTAATTCTTTCTATATTCTTATATTTTTATATTTTTAATCATGTTCACGCTTGTCAAAATAATTTGTCTTAGGTACGAGCAACGCTCAAATATATACAGGATAATCAATTTCCGGCAGTCACCGTCTTCCGTGACAATAGACCTCATTATTATCGTCGAGATGAAACCACCGGTGTTTGGCAACCCATACGATATTGATAATGACTGCCATTATACTCTTTAAAAAGGCTTGTATTAAAGTTGACGGAATTTTCCTAATTCTTCTCTAAAATTCATAAAATAAAATAAAACAAAACAAAATAAAATAAAATATAAAACAAAAATAAAATTTTATTACGAAAAATTATCGTAATAAAATGGATTGGCATGATATATATATATATATATATATATATTTTTGGCATTGCTCGTGAAATATTTGTTTCATCTTTATTATTTTCAAAGTAGAGATATTACATCGCTAAATGTGATATAACGCGCGCGTACGACTTATAATACGATTTCATTTTTTGCAATTGTTATATTTAACGATAAGATAGACAACGATATACAGATTTTACGATATTCGCGACTTATTTGTAAGAACGAGAAATGATAAAATCGAAAAAAGTTATGTCCATTTTTTTAGAATGATTATAATACTTATCTTTTAACTATTATTTTTAAGCACGGTAGTATAAAAATTTCTCTTCGATGGTTGTTGACTTTTATTTTTCAAATTTTTATCCCCTCCTTAAATATCTTTATATTATAGCAACACGAATTGTATTTATATAGAAGAAAAATCAACCAGATGTACTATTGTATATTTTAAATACGTATATATTCTTTGTTCTTTCTTCATCCTTTTAACCCGACATTGGTATACATATATCATCTTGATAATAATACGTGATGCATTGCAAAATTGAAATGTTCCGAAATGATTTATTCGTATCTTTCTATTTCGTGCATAAAAAATTACATAATTTTTCCTTTAAAATTTAAATTTGAAATTTATTTTAAAAATCTTAAAATTTATCTCTTTTTTTCTCTTTCGTACGAAATTGAAAGATTTGCGAACGTAACCAACATTCCGAATATACGATACGAGTAAATGTACCTGCACGAAAGTCGAATAAATCGAGAATGTTATAGATAATTACATACGAGTTTATTACGAATTACATATATATATATATCGATATTGCATGTGAGTTTAAAAAAAAATGATATATCAAAATAAAAAAATAATAAGAACAAAAAGGGAAAAGGACGAAGAGAAAAAGAAAGATAAGAAATATCTCATAATCGATTATTCGACTGTATATTATTTATCCATTTTTATTATTATTATTATTATTATTATTATTATTATTATTATTATTATTATTATTATTTTCAATTTAAATATTTCGTTCGAATAATTTCGTTAATCAATTATAATGAAATCGCTTTGGAAATTGAGATAATTTATAGATTGTTGGTTATGTTGAAAAATAAATAAATGAAAACAGTACGCTTATTCTTAACAATGGTGTGACACGACTGAATAAAAAATAATTCGGTTCGATAATAAAAGAAAAATAAACGATCTTCGTCATTATCCATTGTTCTAATCGTAAATAAATAATAATTATAAAAAAATTTTTTAAAAAATCGAAAAGATATAAATATATCTATTTTTTATTACGTCATAAATAGTTTGAAAAATCTGTTTTCGGTGATGATGCCGTTAAAACTATGAATTATGATGTAAAACTTAAAATGACGAAACGTTTAAAACAAAAGGTTTGGCAGGGAATGCTATAATTGTTTTGTCGTTTCAATTGATGATATTTTATTGACAATTCGCTTTCATGCTAAACAATTTTCTTAATGTTACAATTATTTTTTAAACATTTGATTTGATTTTATTTCCTTGTTTTTATTCTCGTTATATTATGATTTTCTGTTTAATTTTTTTTCTCCATATATATATATATATATACACACATATATATATGTGTGTGTATGTATTAAATCGTTATTCTAGTTAAAAAATATAAAAATCATCTTCTAGTGACATTATATGGTAATATATTTATATAATAAAAGATTTTCAACATTTTCATAAAAAGTGCGTGTCATTTCGACTAACAACCAATTCCGAAAGATTAATATGTTTGGTATAAAAAATCTATTTCTTTATATATATATCTACATATATATATTAATAAACTATAATCTATATATACATCGATTGTTTTTCAAACAGTTGAATAAAACTGTTACATACTTATGTATGCATTAAATTAAAAAAAAAGATATTTTTTATATTTATTATATCTACATATATATATCGTTAAAAGTTTGCATAAGATAGGTCAATTTTTTTAATTAATGCATATTATTTTTTAAACGAATTATAAATTATGAATTGATTTAAAATGATTTTGTATAAAGAAATTTGTATATATGCAATTACGTTGTAGTTAAAAGATAGAAAAACCATTAAATTTATGTTTATAATTTTATGTTTTCGTATTTTAAAATTTATTAATTTTGAACTTATTATTTATAAACAATATTGGTTATAATTTAAAAATGAATTTAATAATGAATAATTTCTAATTCTCTTCTCTAACAATATAATATAATATTTACACAAATATAAATATATACACATCTATTTATATTTCACTTTTTAGTTTTTATTTTAACAAATTAATTTCATCTTATTCTATGCTAATTCTATAAACATAGATTTTAATTAGATTAATCTAGAAAAGAAAAAATATTAATGATAAAAATGTATGTATATTATAATGATTACAAAAATTTTAATTATATATCGATAGGTAAGGAATAAAAAAAAATAAATACAGTTATTTGAAATTATTAAATATCTGAATAAAGAAATAAAGAACAGTGATTTTTTATTGAACTAACTTTTTTTATCAAATTTTTTATTAAATTTATTAAATTGATTAAATGAAAGTTTTATTTCATATCTATTTCATATAGTATATATATATATATATATGCATATGTATATTTTTAAATATTTAGCATACGATAATTTTATTGATTATTACTGATTTCGATATTTTGTGAATTTCGCGTATACACGAAAATAAGCATGATGAAAGGAAAAAAATTAATAGTCGGTTATTGTTAAGGTGTACGATCGACCGCATTATCGAAAAATAAATAATGCTGCGCACGCTCCTTAAAGGGAAGTTGATTTTCATAGTACCTGGCGGCTAACGCAAGTCATAACAGAACACTCTGAACGGGGGTTGTTCAGTGTCGTCTTGACAGTAGTTGAGATTGGAGTTGAATCTGTCTTTCTTATATTACATATATATACATATATATACGTATATATATATATATATATGTATATATATATATATATATACACACACACACACACACACACACACATATATTGTTGCACGTTGTCCAACAGATAATCTATTGTTATATTTTAGACTACGTTCTACTACAAATTCTATTTGTGTTTTGGTAAGTTATTTTTTTTTTTTTTATATTTTTCATAATTTCCAATTGATACGTTTTAAATTAATTATTTTTGATATCTATATAATACAAATTTTATTCATTATTTTGATATATAAAAAAATAAAAAAATTTATTTTATAAATTAGAAAATTATATGTAAAATCGATAACGTAAAATTGTAATAATTGTATAAATATGAATTGTTATCTATTGACGATAGAGTGAATCTTTGTCAAATCATCTTTGTCAAACAATCATAATGTATATGTATAAATATATACATATGTATCGTAGATTAAAAAAAAAAAAATGAAAGAACACATTCCTTCATTCACGCGATGTTAATAAATATTTCGCGTACTCGTTCATAAAGCTACCTTAAGTATTTTTTTTTTCTTTCTATATTTATGTATATTTAATTTTATGCTTATATGTACATTTTATCGTTCTAAAAATCGAAATTCATTTATATCGTTCAATTTTGTAATTATTTCGCATTTACTTTGCCTTGTTTTGTTTTATCTTTGTTTATTTTTTTTTCTTTTCTTCGACTTCTTATTTTTTTCCTTTTTATTTGCTTTTCTTTTTAAAAACGCAAACATATGTTTGACTTTTCATTGATTGAAAAAAGATTTTTCTTTTTAAAGGTTTTTTTATTTTAAGGTTATGTGTGATAATTTTTTAATCTTGTCTATATATATATGTGTAATATTATTACATATAATACGCATACAATTAAATATTATTTTTGTGCATTATTTATAATACATATCTGTTACTGACAAAATAAACAAAAACGAATATAAAATAAATAACTGACTAACAAAATAATTTGTTAGGAATTGAATTAAAATAATTAAAAAAAAAAAGGAAAAAAGAAAAAATATATTATTTCATTTAATCGTAACAATTATCATTAGTTTACATAGTTTATATAATTATACCGAAGTTTGTAAATGATTAACAGAAAATTTGATTATCTATTTTATTATCTTAAACTGCAAATTTTTATTAATTATGATAATATTAATTATATATAATAATAATATACTAATTAATAATAATAATAATAAAAATGATCGAATGAAACAATTATAAATTATTTAAAATCAAAATATAACTAATAAAAAAAAAAAATGAATGAAAAATAAGTAGAAAAAAATTTTCTTGCAATATCAATGCAATTGATATGTAATATATATAATATAATTTAATTATATTATATATAAATAATGTAATTATATTTGAATAAAATATCGATATTATTAAAAAAAATTTTTTTATGTTAATTATTATATTTTATTATCGATATTATCGATATTATCGATATAAAAAATTATAAACAATCATTCGACATTAATTTCTTTTAATCTTAGATTTATTAGGAAATTGATCGAATGCAGTTCCTTTGTTTGAAAAATATTGTAAATTTATAGAAAAAAAAAAAAAAAAAAAAAAGAAAGAAATATTTTCTGATATATTTACTATTATTTTATATTTTTGCCTATTGCAGAAACGGAATTATATTTTTCTTCTTTTTGTTTTCTTTATGTTTTTTCTTGTCCATTTTATTTATTATCTTTTTCTCTTTATAAAAGATTCACGATTATTCTTGATATATATATTCATATTCACTAATGCGTTATCTGGTTTAAGAATTAAAAATGAAATCATTCTAACGTGTTTATTAACCCTAAATTGTTATGCGACATGTGAACCCACAAATGTTAAAAAAAGAAAAAAACAAGCTTTAATTATCACGTTATATAGTGGATGTAGGATCGACCTTTAACATTAATGTAAAACCGATAATTGTGTCTGATTTCTTTGCATATAAATTATCATTAAAGAAAAAAAAAAAAATAAAAAAAATAAAGATAATCTTTAGAAAAGAAAAATTTGTGGAATATGAAATCATAAAATTATTTACGATTGTTTGTTTTAATTTCTTTTGTATCTTGAAAGAATCGAAAGATGTTCATATATCGAATGAAATAAAAGGAAAAATAATATAATATAATATAAGATGGTTGAAAATATTTATAATCATTATAAGGTAGAACTATCTACATATAATACAATACTATCTACATACTAATACAATAGTAGTACCGTATGATATGCTACGTAAAACATGATACGGAGCAGTTGAACGCGTTTAAATATTTGAGTATTTTTTGCCGAAGAAAACGAAAGGAAAAAAAAAAGAAAGAAAAAAAAAATATATGAGAAATATTTAACTTTTTAAGATAAAAATTTAATCGAAAACTCGATCGAATATAGATCAATTTTTATGATACGACAATTTTTCGACAATTTTTCGAATAAAAATGGATTTAAATATTATTTTAGGAGCGACAAAAAAAAGGAAGAAAAAAATTGAAATAAAGGAGAAACGGTCGAACCATACGCGATGAAACGAAAGGGAAGGTTACTCGACATAGAAATAGATCGGTTAGCAGCGCACGTAATCTGCCTTTGATCGTTTCACGGTAGATCAGCTTCGATATACGAAGAGTATACCCTTAAATCTCTGTTCTACACATATATTTTTAGCATGTGAATCGAACGACTCACGCGAAATGATCAGAAATCGTTCGATTTTCTTGTATATACATTTCGTTCCTATTTTTATTATGAACATGGTAAATATTTTTTGAATAACAAAAATAACAAAAAAAGTCGTGAATTCAACAAATATATACCGAATAAGAATTAATATTTTGAAATTGGTAATGATTAGGAAAATACTATTGGATATTATATATCTTATGTCTGTTATTGAAGAGAGAAAATTGATATAATTTATAATTGATAATAATGATTATCTTATTTTTTCTTGAATCTGCATTAGTAACGTGATTCATATATTTATGTATACATGTATATGCAATTATATATGAATCTATATAAAAAACTTTCTTCCAATAAACGAATCAAATAAGAATAATAATTTTAACGAAAAAAATAAAAAATTGAAAAAATTGAAAAAAAAAATGTTGTTCGAAAGCTAGTTAACGAAAAGAAACTAGTTCGTAAGAATTTATATCGAAGAATTTCGAGGTTGGATTAGAAAGAGATAATTATTCGCGTTTATTCTCGGTTTTATCGGCAAAATTCCACAAGACTTGTTTGGTCTTGAATTGAGAAAATCGATGAATAAATAGGGTAAGCGTGTAGCGAACGGAAACGAGATACATCTGGCCCGCAAAGTTGGTTTCGCGCGCGATAAACTCTTGAACGAAGCAACGGGATTGTCTGTATTATTTAAATATCTATCTATTAAGAGACTACGCGACGTGTCATGCTTTGAATCGTTGATAATATAGTCTATTAATCAACTATTCAACTATCAATCTTTATATTTATTATATATAATATATCTTGCTTAAATAGGGTTTAACCAAATATATCTTTTAATTAAATAGGGTTTAACCAACATTATTATACATTCAAATCGAGTCGTAATTTATTCTTGACAAATGAAACATCAAACTTTGCTTTGATATTGTTATTTTTACAATATGATTGGAAAGGATTGCAAGGGTGATCGAATGATTCTACATATTATTTTTACGTACTATTTCTCTTTGATTCAAATATTGCAAATATATTATATATTTATACAAATATGCTCTTATACGCATTTTACTTTTCTATCAAAATTTGCAAATTATGTATCGCATTCATAATCTCTTAGGAATTATTGGAAAGTTTACAATTCGAATCGAATAGAAATATGATTTTACAATATTTAGTTTAGTCGAAAGAAAATATATCAGATAATATATATTAAGAAAAAGAGGCTAATAGAATGAGCATTTTCGACAATCTGTAATTGAACAATAATTAATTGGATAGATGACAAATGAAATTGTAAATCTCTAAATTTTTTTACTGATTGATGTATATATATATATATATATATATATATATAAATAGAACGTCCTTATATATGGTAGCGTTATTCATACTTTGTTATAATTGCGTCAATTAATTTTGATACATCGATAATAACGGATCGAAAGCGTTAACATAACGAATGAACTCGTTATTTTTATTCTTTCATATTTTACAAACCGTAAACAACTTTTTTCTTAATTAAAAATTTTCACTAAAAATATATTAATTAAAAAAATATATATTGATGAAAAATTAATGATAGTAGTAACGATTATTGTTCGTTTCATGAAACAAATCGCATAGCGTGCTACAAATCACAAACGATAATAATAAATCAATAACTAGATTAATGCAGTAACGTATAATTTTTATTTTGGAATTATATCTTTTATGGATGAATATTTTTCGTTGATAAGAAACAGAAAGGAAAACTAAAAAAATAGATTGTAAAAATAATTGTTGTACGATCACAACACAATTCGAACAAATGTCATGTGAAATAAAATATAATGGAATTATTTTTAATTATTGAATTTATATTATACGAAGATTTTAATTTTTTCATTTAAATCCTTTTATGTATTACCACGTAGATCGTTTAAAAATGCAGATAACGTCTCTATTGGCTGATCAATTTCATTTTGTTCTATATGTCATATATATATGTATTCGTGTATAAATTTTGTCAAATATAAATTTTATAAAATTATATAATTTAATTTTTTTAATTTCTTCAATTATTTTAAATTTCATAAAATGTATAAAATATATATACAATATACTTGTATATAATACAATAACAAACGAATGAAAATTAAATGAAAATTAAATAAAATATTTCCAATTTATGCGAATCATTAATTGTAGGATATTTTCCAATTAAAAATTGAACATTTGCAATACCGATATCAATAAAGATCGATATCGATTCGATTTATACCGGTTCTTATTTGTTTCTTATACTTATATATGCACGTATTCGTGCATAAATTTTTTTTCTTTTTAAAATAAAAATTAATTTTTATATCGTTTTTCATCTCTTGTCGTTCTATTTCGTTTCTTTGATCGAATAATAAATTTTTTTTTCAGCTTGTTATATTGAAATCGCAAATCGATCGGAATTAAAAAGAAGAAAAAAAGAAAAAAAAACAAGAAAGAAAGCTATCGAGAAGGAAAAAGCAAGCAACGAGAGAAACGATAACATCAAATATCACGAAAAATTTTCTTAAATTTGCGCTTCTTTTTTAAATAGAAAAATGGCTGATCACGAAAGAATCAGATTGGTGATATTAGGTGGTGCCGGTGTTGGGAAGAGCGCAATTATACGTCGTTTGCTCGGTCAAGGATTCAGCGAAAGATACAGACCTACGGTCGAAGATCTCTATACGAGGGAATGCGTTCTCGGTACGCTTACTCTCAAAGTTGATCTTTTGGATACTGCGGGTAAATATCTTTTTACTTTTTTTTATAAAATAGGACAAACTATATTTCATTACGTTAAAAAAAAGAAAAAAATATAACTCATATTACTCATATAACTCATATTGTAATGTAATTTCAGGTGACTTACAATTCCCAGCTATGAGAAGATTGAGCATAGCTACGGCACATGCGTTTCTTCTTGTTTACGCTACGACATCTTTGCCTAGTTTCGAATGCATAAAGCGATGTTTTGAAGAAGTGAGGGAACAACGACCGGATTTTCAGGTATCGAATAAAAATAATATTAATTTATTTAAACAAAACGAAAAAACGAACAATTTCGATTTGATTAATGAAAAAGAAAAAAATTTAATAAGTTTAATCTGAAATATGTATTCATATTCCTTTTTCTCTATACAATATTGTTATAATAGAATAATAATTTATAACAAAATAAATATTTTGAAATGAGCACATCGCTATTCTCATTTTTTTATTTGAAATCGAAAAGCAAAAAAAATTCGTGAAAATGAGAAGTTACATAGAATTATTACATCAATTTAGGATTATTTATAGCAACAGAATAAGATGATATTTTTAAAAAATAACGCTATTAATAATCGACTGATCATTTTATGATTTGCTGTTATCTCCAGCTCCTTCTCTTCGTTCTTCGCGTTTTTTTCTCTTATCTCATTTGAGAACAAAGACAAGCCGAATAGTATATTCGATCTGTAATAAACATTTCAAGCGATGTGTTCATTTCATGAACAATACCGTATATCGTATATTATTCGACAGGAAGTACCGATAGTCGTTGCTGGAAATAAATTGGATCTTGCAACAACGCGAAGAGAAGTACCGATCGAAGATGTAAGCGAATGGTTATATTGCGAATTGCCGAAACTTCGTGCGAAAATAATGGAATGTTCGGCTAAAGATGATTATAACGTTAAAGATATTTTCCGATGTTTCATCACTTTATCCAAAATCGTTCCAAAAAATCATGTTGGCGAATCAGACGAATCGGGACTTCGACGGAGATGTTCCGCATATGGATCGCGCAGGTATAATTCTTTTGCTCTTTCTGTCTCTTTTTTCTCTTCCTTTTTCTTTTTTCTTCCTTTTCTCTTTCATTCTTTTTTTCTTTTATATTTCTTTTATTTTTGCATCGAATATCTCTTCGATCGATTAATTTTCAATACACATATCGTTTTAGAAATTTCTTTTACTTTCATTGTTCGTTGTTTTACATCGTTTAATTACAAATAACCCTTTTCCAATAACACGATACGCTGTTACATGCTAACATGTCCTCGTATTACGTAAAATACACGTATGCACATACAAATTGAACATCTTGAACTAACGCGTGAATCTAAATTTTTGTTTCGACCATATTATGATGTTGCTTTAAATTTGATATTAATATCGATCATAATATCATTATAATATTTTGACTGTAAAAATTTATTTTTTATTAAATTTTTTAATAAAAAATTTTTTAAGGTATTTTTTGAACAAATGATCAAATCTCGATTTTGTAATGAATAATTGAGAGAAGATTTAATATATCGCGTTATGCTTTTATATATTATTATTATTATTACTATTATTACTATTATTATTATTACTATTATTATTATTATTATTATTATTATTATTATTATTATTATTATTACTACTATTATTATTATTACTATTATTACTATTATTATTATTACTATTATTATTATTACTATTATTATTATTATTACTATTATTATTATTACTATTATTATTATTATTATTACTATTATTATTATTATTATTATTATTATTATTATTATTATTATTAAAACCTTTCCTTGCATGAAACGATCGCTATTTGATCGATTTCGCGTATTACAGAAGCGATCGAGTCGGTAGATCTGGCAGTCCACACGGTAGAACCGGAAGTGCCGGCTCTGTTGGTAATTCTCAGCAAGTGGTCCCAGCACAAAGTACAAATGTCGTCGCCATCAATGAGGAGGCGAAGAGCAAACCGCGCAGTCGTAGCTTAATTCGACGCACCTCGCGAAAAACTAAACAACAAATTAGAGACACTTATACGGATGATTGTAATATCTCTTAATTATACACACACACACACACATACACACATTCTCTCTCTCTCTCTCTCTCTCTATATATATATATATATATATATATATATACTGTTTATCTATTTTCATTATCTATTTTATCACTCGTTCTATTTATTTACCTCTTTCCTTTCTTAATAACATTTTTCACATATAATTATTTAATTCATTATCATTAATAATCAACAAAATTCGTTAAATGATATTATAATGCTATGAATCAAGAATATTCGACGATTCTTAATTTGGACACATTCAATCGTATTTTATGAACAATAATTTTTTCGATATCTTAGCACATTAAATAACGTGTTAAATAACATCAATCTTATATAAACAATACAAAAATGTTGACGAAAGATTTTATCCATTTCAGTCGTACGCGTTGATGATTAAAGAAAGGACCAAACATTTCCAGTTTTGATAACGTATTTATAAAAAATACGATTAATATTTTATATTTTCATTTTTCAATTATTTAATCATTTTTTGGGAAAAAATATAAAGTGGACCAACCAAAACTTGATCATCTTTTTCCAATCTTCTTGCTAATTTATCATTCCTATATGTCTTACTTTTTATTTGTTTTTATTTTGGATCTATACTGATCCAATCCGTCCGTTTGTATGTTAATATTTATTTTTAAAACATCTAGCAATTGTTCGTTTATGCAATTGTTTTGAATACTATATTATTGCGTGCGTGCATGTGTATATATGTGCGCACACGTGTATGTCAAATTTAAATGCATATATATGTATAAAATAAATATTTCAATATTCATATTAAATCGAATTTAATGATTTTAATGATTCCGTTACAACTTATTCATCAAGCATATGCAAATTTTTTGCACTTATTAAACGATTCAACGATTCAATCGAATCATTAAATATATAAATAATGAAAAAAATATTTTTATTAAATATTTTTAAAACTTTTCTTTGTTTTTAGATTCGAACGTAAATACTTATATACATATAATTATGCATGTTTCGTATAATCTATCGTGAATCATGTATTATATATCGTGTTTCCCATTACAATGATACAATGATGCAAACAACATGAATACAAAATAAAAAATTTATTGCAAATATTATTGCAAATGTCTTTGCAAAAACAAAAAATATAAATATTATTATGATATAATTTTTAAACAGACTGCATTTGCACAAATAATGTTAAATATTACAATCAATATATGTATAAATATGTATAAATATTAAATAAGTATATATATATATACACATATGTAATGTATGTATAATATAAATATATTTTACAAAAAGATGGAAATATAGAATGTGAAATAAATATGAAAATAGCTGAACAACATTCTAATAGGTAACTTTAAATACATATCTTGATGTTTACGATAGAATCAAATTACATTATTTAAAAAAAAAAAAAAAATTAAAAACAAACAAAAAAAAGATCGTTTATTAAGAAATTGTAGTAACATTAGAATTTGTGTCTGAGTTACAATCATTATCTATTCCTTCGAATAAATATTTATAATGTTGAATATATGGTTGATAACGTTCTCCTTTTGTAAAAGTTGTAGCATTGCATAAATGTAAATTACGTTGTTTAAAAAATTTGAAAACTGAATAAAAAAGCGTTGCATCTCCTGTTGCTTTTGCTGCTTCCAGAAATTTTCTATCGGATATTTGATCTACCATTCCAACTGATCGAATATAACTATAATTGGCAAATGGAAGAAAAAATTAAATAAATTAATCTCAAATAATCGACAAAACATATATAAAAAAATTATATGTATATATAAACAAGAAATAAGTTTAACATTTACCGTAATGCTGGTAAAATATATCCTTTTGATAAAAGTACTTCAATTATTTCTTCATGAGCATTTCCTAATCGTTTCAGCATATCTAAAGCAAGTTGATGAGCTGCTGGATATAGATTTTCTAAAGAAAGTAATAAGCACGCCAAAGGTTTTGAATCTGCAACTACATGATATTGTAACAACTGATGCAATTGGTAATATGCTTTACGTTGAACTAATGTAGTAATAACTAATTCGTGTAAATAATGCTGTACGGGTATACCATGTTCCGCTAATGATCTAAAACGAAAAACATAAACAAATGTAATCAATATTTATTTTAAGATATGTGTTTATAATTAATTTATTTTAAGATATGTTTATAATTAATTATTAATTTTTTTTTAATATTCAGAGAGAAAAAGAGAGAGAATAGATACCTGATATATTCTAGAAGAATCCAAACAATCATTTTTGGTTCAATCGTGTTTTCAGGAAATTTCGATAAAATATAACTATATACATCGCTTTGATTTAATAACAATTTATATTTATAATTTTCTACTACCATGCTTTGGTTTTTCACGGTGTTTTGTAACGGGGTACCCATCTGTGTGACCATTATATATAATCAATGAAAATCATTAACTAAATTAATTAAAAAATATTATTAAAACAAGAGAAAGAAATTTACATGATCACCTGATTTTGTATTTCATCTTCAAGATAATTTCTATACACAGAATTCAATTTATCAAATATAATCGGCATATCCATTAAACTAATAGGCAATTGCATCATAAAATTTTGTAACACATGTATCAAAATGTATTTTGTGTTTGTTCGTTGCATTAAAAATTCGACTAATAAAACTTTATCTGTAATGAGTTTTACCAAAGATTCCAATTTTAATTCAATGTACCTGTATAAGATAGTAAGATAAAATTGTTAAAAATATAGTAAATTTTATAAATTTCATTTTACTATGTATATAAAGAAGAAAAAAATTTAATGATATAATAAGAATGGATTTTACCTACCAAAGACAACCTAATTTTGCATCGATTATTATGTTTGGCTGGAAAACAACCCAATTTGGTGAATCTATTGATTGAATATATATTGAGAAAAAATATGAGATAATAAAATAAAAAAATTAGATATATTCTATCACAATGCATTTTCTCCTAGTTAAGGATACATAATTGGCACGATTGATAAGTTTCATTTGATAAAGTTGTTCCTGGAACTTTCAAACTATATGGTTTAATAGGTTTTGCAGGTGCTACGCTAGTATGATGCATTACCGTACCGTCGCTTATACCCGGTAACATAATATCGAAAATCATGGAAGTCTAAAAAAAATATGCGCATGTAGAAGACTGAAATATTGCAGTTATTAACATCGTCGTTATTTCAAAAACTTTATCATTTACTCAATAATATATATTATTTTACTTACTTTCGTAGTTTGATGATGAACGATAATAAGATTATCTACAACATTAATGGCAAATTTACCACTTACATCAAGTTTTAAGATATGACTCTTTCTGATTGTTGTCATTCTATTTAAAAATATAAAAAAAAATACAAAATATATATAAAATATAATAGATATATACAAATAAGTTTCAATTAATTAAAAAAAACATACTTATGCACAGTGTAGACATATACAGAAGCAGTTCCAGTAGAACGATTAGCACCTGGTTGATGACGTAACAAAATTATGCATGGTGTCCCATATAAAACTGCCAATGCTACATCTCTCTCATAAACAGTCAATTTTCCTGGTTTTGCTGTACCAGCTTCCACTAATATAATTTTAATATATTATTAATATTATTTATTATTATATTAATAAAATATTCTTCTGCATATTGATCTTGATCATAAAATATCTTTTCTTGCCTTCAAATTTTGTTAATTTATGAAGATTTCCAGGTGTTACATGCAATGTCTGCATTTGATTTCCTATTGTACCAGATGATAATAATACTAGATAACTTTGTGGACAAAATACAAACCAATTCACACCTAAACTTAAACACTTCAAAACTTTAACGTTTCGTTTTTCTGGATTTACCTAAAATTAAATATTTTTATATAATTTGTATATATGTAGTCACAAATTATGTTCACATTGATAATATTAATCGCATATTATATATAAAATATTTATTTAAGCTTTTCTTTTTTTACTTGAAACAATTCAACACCATAATCAGTAACAAGTAATATTTCATTTCCGTGTGTCCAAACAAATCCCAATATAGTGGCATTTTTTCCTTTACACGATTGTGAATATTCTATGTTATCAAGTCCAACAACTGGTGAATAATTTATAAATTCAACTGAAGAATTATTGTGTTGTATCGCCAATATATTCATATCAGGAGCAAATTTAATAGAGATTACTGGACCTTTATCTTCCATTCGGAAATTTATATTTTGATTTGGTCCTTTGACAGATACACCTGTTACACCGCCTGATCGAACAGCAAATACCTGGAATTTGAATAAATTTCATTTATCAACTAAATTATATTTAGAAAATAAATAAACGAGAAAAATTAATTTCTAACCTGTTGTTTCGAATCATCAAAAAAAACATTTGTCAGAGAACTGACCGATTCAAATTTAATTGGATCGGACGATAATTCTAAATAATAATCATCGTAAGCATTTTCATTAACAGTTTCCATGTTATAATAATATAATTAAAAATATCCTAATTTTTTGCTATCTTTGACAGATATGTCAAATATATATTGATTCTTGAATAGGTACATTTAAATGTGAATTTCTATTCTTTAATAAAGACTCTTATTCGATAATACTTATATCTAGTGATAATAAATAGAGACCTTCTTTTTATTTTGTTTGTTACATCTTTAAGTTTGTTACATTTTTTTTCAATGATGGCAACAATTTATTCAAATCTGTAATTTATTTTATAATATTTATTTAAGAAAACAAATTGTCAAATTCATGATAATAAATAAAATTATGAATTGGAATTTGATTTATTAAAGAACACAAAAAATAAAATAATTAATTTAAAAAAAAAAGAATTTCTACAATTAAAGAATATATATTTATAAATGTATTTCACATTAATATATTTAAATATTACTTAGATTATCAAAATTATTCTATTTCATATCATTTAAATAATATTATAAAAAAAAAGGAAAAAATCTTTTTATTTTTTAAATAAAATTAAAAATTTAAAGTTTAATCATGCTATATCATAGACAAATGAATATACATATTTCATTTGTGATTATATTCATAAATATCTAGATATATATTTATTTATATATTATATGTTATTGTATATAATTATAAGAAAGATTGTACAAATTTAAATCAATTTATTCATCTCGAAAAATATTAATTATGCGCTGTTTAAATCTTTATCATAATGGTAAAATAGAATTTTTTTTAATATTTATAAAAATGATATTTGCCAAATTAAATATCTTACATCAAAAATTGACCACGATTAAATCGCATCTAGGGATTTTTTATCATTAATACCTGAAATTAGTCGAGCTATATTCTTCAGTCGCCATAAGTTCCGATGAGTTTCGACGTTTTCGTGCCAAGTTTTGTTTAGTTATTGTATAATAAGAAAAGGTTCTCGTGAAATTTCACATCACGAAAGTGTATTACTACTTCCTGAATATTCAGCCGTGAGTATTATCTTGTGATTTCATCTATATATATTGATATCCATATTTTTAAACTTTTGCAACAAATTTTGAGTATCTTGAAGTTGATCGGAATAATGCGATTATATATGTATCTAAAAGATGTGCAATTCATATAGTTATAAAAAAAGAAATATATTTATTATGTTTATTTATTACGTATTATTATAAATACATATTATTATAAATTTTAGAAAGATATATCTTTAGATAAATTAAAATTAATAAATTAATGATAATCATGTCGATCATATTTATATATAAATGCTGTCAGAGCATATTCCTAAAAAGTTCATAAACTTTTGTGTTTAATAAAGGTGTTGTAAATTTTTTATCCATATTTATGATATATTTGAAGAAAGATTATTTGATCTTTGTTCTTTTTTATTATTATATTACGTCAAATTAATGCATTTCATTTGATCCAATTTGATTTCTCATAAATGTATTGGATGTTCTTTCTTTTTATGTACAATTTATATAGCGCAATATTTTTATGGTCTATTTTTATATTATATGACAAAAAGATATATAAGTTATATTTTGATCATTGTATTTTATTTTATAAATTATAATAAATATCACAATATATATATATATATATATATATATATATATATTCTAATGATTTTAGATTATTTCTGATAATTACAATTTTAATACATGTTAAATGAGAATTTGTTTACTTTATCTTTTGTATTTTATTAAACATAATGTCTTTGTATATAATAATATTATTTAAATCCTTTTATTATAATAAATTCTAATGTTTGTAAGTATATATACATATAAAGATTAATAATATTATACATATTTAAAATACATTTCATATATTTGTTAAGAAATTATTAGAATGTTGTTTGGTAACAACAATTCTAATTATATATAATAACTTTATGTCAAGATAAATTTTATTTTAATTCTACATTTTTGCTCTTTATATTATTATTTATATATTATTATTTACATTATATATATTTATTAATAAATATGATATAATTTTAAGAATATACATAATTATTTTGTTTAATTTCAGCTTCCAAAAAATAGTTTATTGCTAATAAGTTATTATCTTTGAAAAAAATTTATGTGCTTAATTTTAATATAAATCTATATCTTTTTCAAGAGCCTATATTATTTTTTATATTTATGATGTTTATTACTTATCTCTTTTATTTTTATAAAAAAAAATGGATGAAATATTTTTTTTTGCATTATTCAATATTTTATTAATTTTTGCATATTATTTTATATGTATCAATTCTAAATATATAATAATTCTTAATTCTTTTAAAAGATATTTCTTGTATATATTCTATGTGTTGAAAATATATATTATAATTTTATATACCGATATGTGTACATGCACGCATGCACACACGCGCGCGCGTTCGACAAACCATAATGTACATATACATAAAATGTACATATATACATATATTTTTAATATAAATTTATAGTATTTATAATATTTATATATTATATATAAAATATATAATATGTTGAAAATACGTTAATTTATAATTAAATAATTGTATAATCATGAATTTCTCATTTTTTTATGTTTTAATGATGTCTATTATATATCTATAATATTTTTAATCTTTCACATTTATGTTGTAATTTAATGTTGCGATTGAAATAATTAAAATTAATGAGGTTTAATAATAATAATTATGTTATAATGATTTATTAAATCATATTTAGTAAATCAGATTTAATATACTAACATTAATATTTTGTTCAACTAAATATATTTTTATGATAATAGCATTTGTATACACAAATATTGGCAAATGTATGCTCATTATTTGTGCTGAACATATTTTATATTATTTTATTTGCTTATAAATACTGTGGTAAGGGAATACCTATTTAATTTTCTTAATTATATTTACTCTACAACTATTTTATGAAAGTTTAGATTTTTTTAATCTTATATATTATATAAATATAACAAAATAGATTATAAGAACTATTAAAGTTTAAGAAATTATTTTATTATTGTAGTAACCGACTGATTAAAAAAATTTCAGGTGATTTTTAATTCTCTTTTACACATATACACACGCACGCGTGCACACGCACACGCATACGCACACGCATACATACATATACACATTTATTACAATTTTTATTAATAATTTTATGAAATATTAAAATTTTTTTATTTATAAGTATATAATTGGTTTATATATTATATTTAGAAAAGGAATTTGAATAACCGAATAGAGATTTTTATAATATTTTATATACATATATAGTGATATTCTATAACAATTTTCTTTGAATATAAAATAGCGTCCAAACGGACTGCGGCCCTTAAAACTGTTTGGAATGCGCTAGCAAACCATTGCTAGAGTGAGAGACGATTTAAAAATGCAAAATTGGAGTCAATGGCAATTATCAGCTGGTGCTGTCGCTACTCCAATGCCACAACCACCAGTTGGTTATGCTGCGCCAGGAGCAGATCCTATGGCTATGATGCAAGCATATATGCAGTACTATAATCAGCCTGTAAGTATTTTATTACATATTTATTTTTATATCACACATTATATTAATAAATGAAATTTTTATTGATTAATTTATCATATTGTTTAGATTAATATACAGATTAATATAGAATTTTTACGTATAATGGAATTTTGACATATTGAAAATTAAAATTTTATTGAGAAATTATTATAAATTATTATAAATTTAAAAATTATTATTTATTAATTTATTAAAAATTATTATAAATTTTCGTTTTTTTTAAAATGGTAAACATGTTAATTTATTTAATAAAATAATAAATATCATAAATATCATGTGATATATATTAGTTTTAAAGTATAATTGTATCATTTTATTAGGCACCTAGTGGATACACAGCAGAACAATGGGCTGCAGCTCAACAACAAAACTGGACTCAGTGGCAGCAATGGCAGCAACAATATCAACAATGGCAGGCACAATATGGAGAGAAGGTATATAACAAGAAAGGAATAAAAATACAATTATAAATAATTATAATTATAAAACTTAAACATTACCGAAAATAAATTTTTATTAAATTATAATCAATATAAAACTTAAATTTTTGAGACTAAATACACTATATTGATTTTGTGAATTAATTCATTGCTTTAACTTTTTTTCAGTATCAAGAAACAATGAAACACATGTCAACCCAGAATATGAGCTTAGCCAATCAGATGCCACAGTTACCAATTGTGCAACCCCCACCACCTCTTCCGAAAGAGGATACAAAACCACCATTACCTCCAACTACTATGAACACATATCAATTTACAAGCATGCCTCCGCCGCATCAAAATAATCTTCCATTATTTCCTGTTAAGCAAAACGCGAATACTCCAATGCAACAAACGAATATACAAAATTGCCCTCAGAATCCTCCTTTACCTCCAAATCAGCCACCATTACCTCCTGAAAATAGCAATAGTAGTAAAGAAAATAATTTAAATGGTAAACGCAATAATAACATTGATAGTGAATCTAATAGTGTTAAAAAGTTGAAAGTCGAAGATGAAGAATTAACTGAAGCCGAGAAAACATTTGATGCTCAATTTAAACAGTGGGAGGAGCAATTTAATAAGTGGAAACAGCAAAATGCTAATCATCCGGATAAGGTAAGTAATCTTACAATTAACATTATATATTATCATTGTATATTATCAGAATGATAATAAACATAGTGATGGAAATCAACCAGTAAGTGAATTATTATTATTTCTAATTATGTACACAAAAAACTAATTATTTCATTGTAGACTCAATATAAACAATACGAAGCAAAATGGACATCTTGGAGAGAAAAGCTTATTGAACGACGTGAACAAATGCGTAGAAAACGTGAACAACAAAAGCAAACTACTGTCAAAACAGATGTCGAAAAGAATAAAAATTTGCCTGGTGATGATAAAATATTGAATATTTTGTCTAGTACTGAAAATCAAGGATTGATTAACAATTTATTAGGAATTGGAAAAACTCTTGGTTTAACTGGAAAACAAAATAGTAATGTACCTCCACCGCCACCGCCACCGCCGCCACCAGCTACAGAAACAATAACGTCCAACGTTCAAACAGCGGCTACTATAACATCGTCTTCTCAAACAGTTTCACAGGTATCAACTGCCCAATTACCAGTTATGAATATGATATCTTCTAACGTAATGACTTCGTCACCTTGGAATTCTCAGCAATGGGCATCTCAATATAATGCAGGAGTACCTAATTTTCCTAATTTTCAAACTATGACTGGAGTACCTCCACCACCATTCAGTATGCCGCCAATTCAGATGCCACCCCCAAATTTTACGCAACCACCACCAAATTTTCCTGCTATACCAAATTTTTCTCAGCCACCTCCGGGTTTTGTTAACAATGATTCACGGCAGAATCATAATATACGGCCATCGATTCCATCTAATATGCAACAAGGAAGGCCATCTCCGTTTGGTTTGAATACTGGTGGTGTTCCAGATGGGAATTCGATACATAACGAACGTCAAAATCAAGCTGGTCCTATAAATAATTTCGATTCTGGAGGCCATATAAATAATTTTAGTGTAAATGATCCTGTTCGACAAAAAGGTATATCGACAGAACGTTTTGGTTCGGATGGTATTAACGATCAACAAACTAAACAATATCGATGCAATGATATGTTTAATCAACGAAACGAAAATTATAAATTAAACGGTGAATGTGTATCCGAAAGTGATCAATTTAGAAGAGAAGATAGAAATTATCAAGAACGTGGGAACAATCAGTTTAATCAACAAAAGATGAATTTGAACAATGACAGATTTGTTTCAGGAAATGATCGGTTTGGGCCAGGAAACAATCGATTCGGTATAACTAATGATAGATTTGGATCTGGAAATGATCGATTTGGAATGCCAGATGATCGATTTGGATCTGGAGACAACAGATTCATTGCTGGAAATGATAGATTTGGAAATGATAGGATTGGAGGACAAGGAAATGAATCTCTTAATGATCGTTTCGGACCAAACAACGATCGATTTGGTCCAAATAACGAACCTTATGGTCCTGGAGGTGATAGATTTAATAGGAATAATATGGATCGTTTTGAACAAAAAGATGTAGGGGATAATAATAGGCGCGATAATTTTCAAAATGCTTCAAGAAGTTTCAACAGGAATAATAATCAATTTGAATCACCACCCGATAAATTTGCTTTAGAATTGAAAAAACTTATGGAAAAAAGAAGAGCTGCAATAGATATATTCAAACCGAGTTATCTTGATTCTGATAAAAGTAGTAATGTTGGTTCATTAAGTGAAAGTTTTAAGAAGATTACAGGTGATTCTCCATTCATAAAATCAACTGGAAATCAAAATTTTGGGCCTCGTGGACCTTCCAATTTCGGACCAAGTGGACAAGGTAATTTTAGAATGGCTGGAGATTTTAAATTTCAAGGAAATCCCGAGTTTGGATCACGTGGTACTACAGGAATTGGACGCAACAACTCTTTTGATTCACGGGATGCTTCAACTGGAATAACTTCATTCAGAGGACCGAATTTTAGTCCACAGCAAGTACAAGATTTTATAAATACCGAATCAAGACCAAATATGACGAATCTTGAAACCGATACAAATACGAATAATGAAAATAAAACTGAATCTATTACTGTAACAGAACATACTGAGATAAATTCTAAATCGAGCGATCAAAACGTCGATAATACGCAGAAGGAGGATACAGAGAATCATTCGGTTCAAAAGGATATTTTATTGTTAGAAAAGCCACCTTGGATTGATTCTCAACTTTCTGAAGATAATTTATTGCAAAAGGATAGCATTAAGAAAGAAGAAATTCCATCTGGTAAATATGACTCCTCAGAACAGAATCTACAGAATACGTTTAAAGAACAAACAGAAGTAAAACAAGAACTATCTAATAAAGATGGTAATGATGATAATGAAAAAAAGGCAGAAGTATTACCTTTTATGGGAGAAAATGATCCAAAACCGGAAGATTTAAATATGGAACCGCCACCTGAATTACCTAATTTGGGCCCTATTTCTACTAACGAACTTAATAATGATTCTCTACAAAGAACAGACGAATCGTACGAGACAAAGGAATCTTCTTCAAAATCGTTCCCAAACAATAATAATCCTGAATGTTTTGATCCTAGAGGACCGTTCGTTTCAACATTCGGACCAAGAGGAATGCAATTTAGACTAAATGCACCTTTCTTGAGTCCCAAAAGTCCTAACGATGTTAGATTTCCTATATTTGAGCCATTCAATTCTTCTGGTCCAAATTTGTATCCATTAGGCTCTCGAGGATCTAGTGATGGACAATTTGGTCCAAGAGGTTCTAATAATGGACAGTTTGCTCCTCGAGGTCCTGATGGACAATTTGGTCCTAGAAGTGGCAATGATGGAATATTTGGTTCAAAAGGTTCTAATGATGGACTATTTGGACCTAGAGTTGATAATCAATTGGGGTTAAAACCTCCTAATAATGGACAGTTTGGTCCTAGATCTTCGAATATTGGACAATTTGGTCCCAGATACGATGGCCAGTTAGATTTAAGAAGATCTAACGATGGACAATTTGGGCTTCAAGGACTAAATAATAGGCCATTTGTGCCCGGTAGACCAAATGATCCATTATTTGATAATCGAAGTCCCTGTGATTTACAGTTCACGCCTAGAGGACCTAGTGAAGGACAAATTAGATTTTCAGGATCCAATGATAGGCTTTTTGGTTCACGACGTAATGATTCATCTTATCAACGAAGTCCAAACAATTCGAAAGTAATAAATGACGGATTATTTCCAAATAGATTTAATGAAAAACAGTTTGATAATTCTACCGATGGATGTTTTGTTGTCCGATCTTCAAATGATACGTACTTGAGTCAACGAGGTCCACTTAATAATTCAAATGATAATTCTTTTCAATCTCGGGGTCAAGGCGACAGATTTTTTGATAACAGACAAGTTGATGTTAGAGGAATTGAAGAAGTTAGATCGAAAAGATCACTCGACAACAATACTGATTCTAAAATTCATGGTAGTTCGGAAGTAAGTGGAGGAGGAACATTTGATAATAATGAGAAAATATCGATCGATGAAAATATGCAGCAGGGAAAATTTGATTCTAACGATATGCAGAATCCAGGATGGAGGCAAATATATTCAAAGAATAGTTTTGGAGATATCGATCAAAGATCCGGACGAGGCTATCCTGACAAATCTTTGCTTGGTCAAAATGAAACGTTTAATCAGAATATAGCGAATAATATAGAACGACGATCTCCTTCGGGTGGAAATAAATGTAACATTCCTGATAGAAGATTAGAAAGAGGTATGACCGATATGACGGTAGGTGATTATAAGACTTTGTTAGACTCTGATTATACGAAATTGGATAATACCGATACGTATCTAAAACGATCCGTAGATAATCGACAATCTCAAATTAGATGTTCGACCGTGAAGGAATTTTATATAGAGAAGCAGTTTAATTACAATCATGGCGGGGCTGGTGGTGAAAAAAAATTTATCGAGCATATACCTGCTAAAATAATTGATTATGCTCATACTTCTCGATCATCGATTCAAGATCATTTAACTCCTGTGCAATGCTTCGATTATGGACATGGTAATTTAAAACCATTGGTGCCAGAAAATGAGATGCAACCAAAGAAAGATTTCAGAAATTGGGAGGAGAATGAGCAAAATTTGAAAGAATATACCGAGAGAATAAAGAATTACGAATATCACGCGGGTAAGATAGAATTTAGCCGATTACAAGGAGATTATAAGCAAAGAAGAAATAGCGAAGAATTTATAGATGATAGAAAATTTGAAAAAGGAGAACGCAAAGAAAAGGAAGAATATAAAGGAAAAGAACGCGAAGATAGGATATTATTTGATCATACAAAGTCTGACAAAGATCAAGATAATCGATATGACAAGAATTCTACTAAAGGTAATTTGATATTAAATTTCAAGAATAATATGTTTTTATCTATTGTTACAAATATCATGGTAATTAAAATTATATATCAAAGTTATTGATCAAATTTATAAGAAATTTGTATTCAAAGAAAATGTATTTGTATTTATGCGTATTCAATTATTAAATTATATTAGTTAATTTTATGTTTATTATCATTTTCCTCAAATCGTAGAGAGAACTCGGGAAAGATGTGAAACTTCTCAAAAGGAAATGAATAAAGAAAATGATAAAGAAGAAGACAGGTACAGTACAATGAACATATAATTTATACATTTATACATTTATATATTTAATTATATTACTTATATATACAAACTATTGCAAATTGTTATTAATATTATCTGATATTAATTTAAATCAATTTCGTTTGAAAACATAATTTCTTTAGATCGAAAGGAAATATAAGCTGGCAGGAGAATTCAAACAAGAACATCATAGATACAAAGCCATCAGAAACCAGGTATGTTTTATTGAAAATTCGTTAAATTTGTCTTAAATGTTTTAGCCTTTAAAATATTGTCAAATAAATGTTTTTACAATTTTTGTGTTCTTAAATTTACATTTCGAAAATTTTATCTACTTATACGTATAATAATGTTTTTAATAAGTATCATATTTTGCATAAAGTATGAAGACTTATTTATGCAAATTCATTCTCACACATATATTCTCTCTCTCTCTCTCTCTCTCTCTCTCTCTCTCTCTCTCTCTCTCTCTCTCTCTCTCTCTCTCGCTCGCTCGCTCGCTCGCTCGCTCCCCCAAATGCACTTTAAAATAGGATATTATGTACATTTTTATTCATCATGTCAATATTATTGGCATATGAAAATATTTCAAAAACCATAGGTTTTTTTTACTTGTAATGTGTATGTATTTATATTATGGATATTATAATGACCAATATATATATTTAAAATATATATTTAAAAATTGATTCATTTGCATAATGCAGAAATTTCAAACTTTTGAAAATTATATATCTTGTTTTTTTTTTATAACATATGTTTTGTTAATATATTTTAAATTAAACATACGAATCACGTTGCAGCATAATCCATACATTTTTCTCTATTGTGTTTCTATTATGTGCAAACATATTATGTTTTTGCGATTTAATTAATTTAAGGTAAAAAAAAAAAATATCTTTATATTATAATATACAAAAACATTTGATATTTTCAGGTGATGGTTATTATTTAATATAGTATTCAAAAGTATTTCGTTTATCTATCGTTTTATGAAATTCTTTCCTGTTTTAATACCTTGTGCAAAAAGTATTAAATATAACGCATCAAAATTTAAATATATCGATCTTTATCTTATTTATTAATTATTCATCTCCATTGTTATTCCTTTTTTGTTACAGTTTATGAGAATATTATATTCTGTTTATTGTATACAATTCTGATCTTCTTGCTAATTAATTCAAAGATAGCTAATTAAAAGCATTTCACGGTGATAAAACCATGTTAATATATATAATGTAATGCATTATTAGATGTTGATATGACAAAGATTCGGAAACAGCTATGTTTGTATCTGTGAAATGAAGATGGCCAATTCTTTTCTTATTTTCATTTTCGATTTGGTTTTTATATTTCATAGATATACACATTTGTACACATTTTTATCTGTTATAATATCCTTTAATGAGAGTGACATTTTTGATAATAAATCGTATATATGTATAGACATGGTATTATCACAATGATATAATGATTGGCGATCTTTTGAATTAATTTGCGAAAAGATTATCTTTTATATATAAAAATTATAAAGATTCTTTAATAAATTGATATTGTTTATTATAGTGTTACAGATACTCAGCATAATGTATTGGAACCTGCACAAAAGACTTTGGAATTGGCAAAAACACCAAATTGCACAATGGTGGATGACTTATTATGTCCTCCAGGTCGTCAGAATAGACCACCAAAAATAGCTATAATTTTAAGAGGCCCGCCAGGCAGTGGAAAATCTTTTGTGGCAAAACTTATTAAGGTAAAATCGAAATGTGTTTATTAAATATAATATAATATACTTGATTTTGTAAATATAATTTATAATTTCAAATACTATACCTTTTTATAGGACAAGGAAGTTGAACAAGGAGGTTCTGCACCAAGAATATTAAGTCTTGATGATTATTTCTTGGTAGAGAAAGAAATAGAATCCACGGATGATAATGGGAAAAAAGTTACAATTAAGGTATGACATGTATAAATGTTTTTTATTTTTATTTTATTATTATTTTTAATTAAATTTAAAATCTTATAAATGTAAATAAATTAAATGTTTTTTTTCGATTTTATAAACTTTATTATAGGATATGATATACGAATACGAGGAAGTGATGGAACAAAGTTATATTACATCTCTTGTTAAAGCTTTTAAAAAAAATGTTACCGATGGTTTCTTCAATTTTATTATACTGGATTGTATAAACGAAAAAATATCCGACTATGAAGAGATGTGGAGTTTTGCTAAAACAAAAGGTTTCAAGGTAATTTTTTATTGAAATCTAATAACATTGAAATCCAAATAGATGAAAATAAAGAGTAATGTTTTTGAATATTTGTAGGTATACGTGTGCGAGATGGAAATGGATTTACAAATTTGTTTAAAAAGAAATATTCATAATCGCACAGAAGATGAAATAAATAGAATTATAGATTATTTTGAACCAACTCCAAGTTATCATCAAAAATTAGATGTTAATTCAATGTTGCAGGAACAAGCAATTGAAGAAGTATATTTTTTTCAAGTTAAATTACATATACTTTTTTTAAATGAAATATTGATTATATATTACTTGATTTTAGGTTCATATGGAAGATAGTGAAGAAACGCAGGAGAAATCATCTCAGCAAAATGAAGATAGCCAAGATAGTCAAGATGATATGCAAGATGCTATTGTAATTTTCCATATTAATATATATGTATCTCTTTCTTTTTTGAATAAGAATTTCTTTTTTTTCTCATAATATATGTATGCATACATAAATATTATTATTCATTTTTAGGGAGTTAGCAAATGGGAACGTATGGAAGCTGAAGATAAATTAGGTCAGTTATTGTATATTTTATAAAATATTATTATATTTTATAAATATGAACAATTCATTTCATTTTAATATTAAAAAATATTAGATCGATTGGATGGACTTGCAAAAAAGAAAAATGAAGGAAAGGTACAAACTATGAAAGATTTTCTTCAAGTTCCTGACTATTATAATATGGAAGATACTTCCGGTAAAAAACGAGTAAGTATATTTTATTTTCCAAATCACAAATATATTTATATTATAAATTGTTGTATATAATAGGTGAGATGGGCAGATTTAGAAGAACGTAAAGAACAAGAAAAAATGCGCGCTGTAGGATTTGTAGTTGGTCACACTAATTGGGATCGTATGATGGATCCTACAAAAGGAGGAAGCGCCTTAACACGCACAAAGTATATATAATTTAACTTTATTTCTAGGTTACCTAGAAAAGATCACAAATAAAATTAATATTAATCGCGTGTAAGTTCTAATTTAAAAATTTACACGTTTATTTCAGAAAGTATTACAAGAATAATTTTTTCTTATTTTCTTTTCTCTTTCTCTTTTTTTCTTTTTTTAAAGTTAAAGAGATAACATTGTATTTAAAAATAATATATATTTAAAAATAACATGATTTATGCGAGTTCACAATTAGAAGATTTGTGTAAAAAGTTGCAATATGCGTATTATTAAATGATTTTTTTTTTTTTTTTTTTTTTTTTAACAGTATTATTAGTGATATACAAAGACTGTTTTTTCTTTCTTTTTTTTTTCCTTTTCTTCTTCTTTTTCTTCTTCTTCTTCTTTTTATATTGTAAAAGACTGCAATTAACTATCACAATCTTACAAAGTTCCCTAAGTGCATTTATTATAATGTTGCAATATATTTATGGAGAAAATACTCTCAAACTATAAATTCTTGCGTCATCATATCAATATTAATTTTTATCATATTTGGATAAAATATATAATATGCTAATATTACAGCATTATATTTGTATTTATGTATTCATTTGTACGTGTATTCACATATTATCTTTTTTTGAAGAAAAGATATTTAAACTTCAGTTTACAAGATTTTAATAAAGATGAAGTGTAAGCATTATTTTAATTTTTCCGTAATTTATAATATGTACAATTTCACAAACAACAGTAATAGTAAAGGAAATTTTTTTGTACATTTATATACATATGAACAATTTATTTTTCATTTGATTTAATCCTTTTTTAATTATATAAAATTTTCGAAAACTATAAATATGTGTTGTGTTTTATTCGCTGTTGCAAATATAAATGTTCTTTTTTATATATTTATATATTTTTATAAAAATATTAAATATTTGATACCTTATATAAATCATTATTATATTGCAGGTTTTTTTCACTATCATAATGACATTTTTATTCGACTACAGTAGTGTACAGAAGTGAAAGTGCAAGATGTCTACAAATATTAAAATTCTTCAGATGATGTACGATTCTAATGCAGCCTTATAGAAATTATATTTATAATTAGGCTAGTATAAATCTTGTTAATTTATGTAAAGCATGCTGTAATTATTGTATATAATATTAATGAAATTGTTTTCATTACAAATTTTTATATTTAGTTTATGCATAATAGTAATAGTAATAATAATAATAATAAAAATAATAATAACAATAAGAACAACAACAACAACAACAATATAATATTAATAATAATATAATAACAACAACAACAACAACAACAATAATAATAATAATAATAATAATAATAATAATAATAATAATGATTGATGATAATGATGATGACGATGACGATGACGATGATAATGAAATGATAATTATAATGATGTAAAACAAATTGACAGCTTAAGTATATGTGATAATCATACCACTGCCTGTTCAAAATTATAATAAAAATTAAAAAGCATCCATTATTCGATTTCAAGAACGTGTATGGATGAAGTAAAAAAAAAATAAATTGTAGAAAATTGTTTAATATTATATAGCAATATTTCCAACCTTTTTGTATTAGCGAAATATTTCAAAATTAATTAGATTTTCGCGGCATATTTTTTTTTTTTTTTTTAGGATGAAAAATGTATTTATTGATTATATATTTTGATATTTTTTAATTTATTACTTATTTAAAAAAAAATTACATATGATAATATGACGGTTTATATTCATATATTCATAATTTTAATTGTTGCATTTAATCAATTTGTTTATGAATTTTTAAACATTATTTATAAATAATAAATATGAAATATTTTATATTTAATAACATTTTAATAACATTTTAATAAAATTTTCGCGACATATTGGTATTGATCATGGTATTGATACATCGGTTGGAAAATATTTTTTATTTGGGAATGTATGTAATATGTTGACTATCATGAATAAAAAATATTGTTAATATTCTAAATAATAATAATAATAATAATAATTCAGAATAAATTTGTCCTTAATTATTATATACATATAATATAAACATAAATAATAGTTATGATGATGTAATCAATAATGAAGATATAATTCAATTTAACTCTTTCGTCTTTGTTATTTTTTTTTAATCTTTAGGAACAAAATTACTTTATATAAAAATATTAAATGAATATTATTATATAAACATTATATTACATAAATTTATTATATTAATATATATATATATATATATATATATATACTTATAATTTTGAATATTGCGCATGATTTATATAATGATATGGTTTATCAAAAAGTCAAGTTTACATGTAATAACATGACGTTGCAATATGTAGTTGCCTTGAAATTCATTAATGTTTACGTTTCATTACGTATCTTATATCTTTTATTCTAAGGTTTCTTACATTGTCTGACGTGTACAAAAATCAAATAACACGATTATAAGCATAGGTTAGATCGTAACATTGAATTAAACATCTTTTTTATTATTAAGAAATCGTGCAATTATGCTCGACTTATTTACCATATTCAGTAAAGGTGGTATTGTGTTATGGTGTTTTCAAAGTACCTCGCAAATATTTGCCCCAAGCGTTAACGCATTAATACGAAGTGTCATATTGCAAGTAAGTTCTTCCATCGAGATTTCTTATGTTTTTGAATTTCATTATGCCAATATATAATATTATGAAATATAATATAAATATTATATAAATTAATAGCAATAGAAAGGATACTTTTAATTAATATTGAAATAATTAATTGTCGAATGATCAATATTTGTCATAATAACATTTTTTATTAATTCTTTGCAGGAACGTTCGGGAAATCATAGCTTTGAATATGATTCTTTACGCTTACAATATAAACTCGATAATGAGTTTGAGCTAGTATTTGTAGTTGCATATCAAAAAATACTACAATTGTCATATATAGATAAATTTTTAAATGACATTCATTTAGAATTTAGAGATAGATTTAAAAATGAATTGGAAAATTCCAAGTGGTTTTCTAACTTTGAATTTCAAAGTAATTATGAACATGTATTAGCTATGGCTGAACAATGGGCAAGGACTCAGGCTAAAATACCTAAACAAATGCGTACCTTTGATGAAAGTCAAAAATCAAAAAAGACTGTTGCCAGTATGATAGAAAGAAAAGATGATAAAGAAAATAAAAAACAAGGTATGTATTTGAAATTGCATTGTATTTGTTTTAACATTTAAAATCGGCTTTCAAAAGTTGTTTCACAAATATATATATATATTTAAATTTGATAAATATCATCATTTAAGATTCAAATTGAATCTTTTATATAATAATCTTAATATCATTCGTTAATACCAAGACTATATGACAATATTAATATATATGACAATATATTTCTCAATACATTTTAATTATATTTATGTTTTCTGACTTTTATTTAATTCTGTAGTGAAAATTCAAGAGGTTATAAAGCAGGATTTACAACAAAACAATCGAGTAAATCATAATGGAGAAATAGATGAAGAAATTTTAATCGCAAATCGTATGAAATTGGCGCAAAAATTGAATAATCAAAAGAAAAAAATTGATAAGCAGTAAGTTCTAGATCTCGCATTATAATATTTAAGTATAAGATGGATAAAATAGTTATATTTCACAGAAAAAGCCAAAAAATTGAAAAAGCTGGCAAGAAACCTCGTGTTTGGGAATTAGGTGGGACCATTAAAGATCTTGCTGCTTTAGAACGCACCAAAGATAAACCAGAAGAGAGTGGTGATTATGTTGCGGCTGATAAAACGGTGATAACAATTGATTAAATTTAAAAATTTTTGAATTATTTTTTTTATAATCAAAATGTATAATTTTTTTTTTTTTTATAAAATAATCTTTACAGTTAGTAGGTAAAATGAAAGGTAGTATTCGCGACATAATAGTTGAAAGTGATTCCGAAGATGAGTCCGACGAAGAAATGGAGAATTCTAAACCACAAATGCAAAAGAAAACCAATAGTATGTTTTCAATGTTTAAGAGTTTGGTCGGTAATAAATGTTTGAAACACGAGGATATGGCTCCGGTTCTCGATAAATTGAAAGATCATTTGATTTCGAAGAACGTAGCAGCTGATATTGCTAAAAAGTTATGCGATTCCGTCGGTGTAAAACTCGAAGGAAAAATACTTGGTACGTTCGATAGCGTGACTAGTACCGTAAAAGTGACTTTGACCGATGCATTAGTGCAAATATTATCTCCAAAAAGGCGCGTAGATATTTTACGAGACGCAATGGAAGCAAAGAATAATTATAGACCTTATGTTATGACTTTCTGCGGCGTGAATGGAGTGGGAAAATCAACAAATTTAGCGAAAATTTGTTTCTGGCTCATAGAGAATAATTTCCGTGTGCTTATCGCAGCGTGTGATACATTCAGGTATCACATCTCTATTATTATTAAATTATTAATCTTCCATCAATTTTCCATTTTAATATATAATATTATTAAATATTTTTCCATCGCATATGTTGGAATAATTGATTTTAGAGCTGGTGCAGTTGAACAACTAAGAACGCATATGCGTCATTTAAATGCTCTTCATCCACCGGAAAAACATGGAAATCAATCTATGGTTCAATTGTACGAAAAAGGTTATGGAAAAGATGCTGCCGGTATTGCTATGGAAGCGATACGTTTTGCCAAAGATTCGAAAATCGACGTAGTTTTGGTGGATACTGCAGGCAGAATGCAAGATAACGAACCTTTGATGAGAGCTTTGGCCAAATTAATCAAAGTAAACGAGCCAGATGTGGTGCTTTTCGTTGGCGAAGCTCTTGTTGGAAACGAAGCTGTTGATCAATTGGTGAAGTTTAATCAAGCATTAGCAGATCATAGTCAATCTTCCAATCCTCATATCATTGATGGCATCGTATTAACTAAATTTGATACAATTGATGATAAGGTGAATGTATAGAATGTATAGAAAAAATATATTAAAATCGATCTATAATGATATATATTATCGTTATATCGTGTATCGCATATATTGTTTTCAGGTAGGCGCAGCAATTTCTATGACGTATATTACCGGACAACCTATCGTTTTCGTTGGAACAGGACAAACTTATACAGATTTAAAATCATTAAACGCCAAAGCCGTGGTACACGCATTAATGAAATAATTGTTGATTTAGTAACAAGTAACAAGAGACGATATCTTATTAAAAGATAAGAAAAGAAAAATAATTAAAATTTGAATCGATTGTTATAGACAAATTCAAAAAACGAATTATTATTATCTTTATTATCATTATTATTATTACGTACACAAAAATTTAGCAAGAATAACATATTATCATATTTAAAGTTGTTTAAAAAATTATTCTTGATCTATTCATCTTTTGTAAAAAGTTCTTTTAACATTCTAGACGATTCGATGAATAGGATTGTACAATTTCTCTTTACAAGTAATTTAACGATAAATTTACAGAGTTTTATACAAAAGAAAAAAAAAA